CTTGTGCTTCCAGCGCCTGGGGAAAAAAAAACGAAAAACAAAACAGGAACTGGAAAACCAGCAGCCAGGCGGCGTTTCAGTTGCCGGCTCCACCAAACGGGGAAACGCTTGCCGACATGTCCGCCCATGCTCTCAAACTCTGCGTGTCCGAGCCGTGAAATCTTCAGGTTGACATCAAGAAGCTGACGATGTTGGCTCTGGCAGCAGCTGTCACTTTTTGATAAGATTTTTTTTTTTGTTCCCCCATCTTTTATTTCTGATGTTCATTAGTTTGTACTGTTTAAGTTAGAGGTCACAGGTGGATCCTGATCCTCCTCTTTGGCTCACAAATAAAAGTTTTGCATTTTAAACTTGTTTTTGTTTGTATTCTTTAAAACACAAACATCACATTTCTCCCCGGTCCTTCAATGGACCCCCGACCCTACGCTCCTCCTACTCTGACCCCCGACGCTGGTCATGATGATTCTGACCTGGTTTTGCTCGGATTCCTGAGAAAACTGGGTTTTTTTTATTCAAAATGCTTGTAGATAATTTAGAGAAATATTTTACTCTGTGAAGATTATTGTTAAATTAGGAGATTAGTGTACCAAAAACATGTTTTGGGTTTAATTTTTGTTTTATTTTTCATGTTTTAAATCCTCCAAACATTTTGATTAGATGTTTGATTTTATTCTGAAGTTAAAATATGCAAATATTTAGTTTATTTTTCCTTTGGTTCTTTTAAAAAAATTTATTTTCTGACATTTTAAAAACTAGTAAGAGTCTGGAAACTGTTTTTTTCCTGTACTTTGTTTTCTGTTACATTTTTCATAGGTGGAAATAGGAACATAGTATCTAGGTGATGAATTTGCACAATATCTGCCACAGTTTTGTTATTTTTCTTGATGCACTCTGTGCCTTTTCATTCCTCAAACTTCAGATTATTCAAATTTATTTGTATTTTTTTAGATAATTGTAATTGTTTGCCAGCGAGCAAACAATGAGGTAATCTACAGCCTGGAGATTTTTTGTTTCTTAAAAATTTCAGGAAGAAGAACTGATGACCGTAGTGAAGGTTGTGGATTTTCTTAAATCCACCTGGGTCCTCACCAGCCACTGGCGAGAAGTTCACTGGGAATCAAATCGCCCAGAATCCCACCAAGGAGATTCCAACAAAGTATCCCTGAAAAAATAGGGATACCACCGACGGCCCACTCAGTAGGTGGTCTACCTAGCTGAGGCAGCATGGAGAACATGGTCAGGATGGGACATCGCTGCAGAACAACACCCACATGGATTAAGGATGCCGTACTTCATAACCCATAACTCTCCTGATGTTGAGATTGAGAATGATTTTTATTTATTTCCAATAGACTCATTTCCTAATAATAATCCCTCAGATGAAGGTTGGAGCCAGTCTGCAGTGACTCTTCCTTCTGCTTTGACTGCTGCAGGTTTCTTGGTTGTCATTTTCAGATATTCTGGGATTTATCTGCAGAAGACGTCCACAACGGTGAGAAACTAATTCAATATTCATAATTTCTTTTACCTCAATTCAAGCTTTATAACTGAAGCTGCAGATTTCAAATTTCACTTACGATCTTTATCTGCATCTTCAATGATTGTTTTATTTTGAATCTAAACTTTTGTTTCTTTAATCATATTTTCTTAAACTTTACCTCCAGATTTATATTAAACTTTCATGAATGGAGTTTATTTCAGTTTTAAAGAGCTGAAACATCTGGATCGTCTGCAGAAGGAGAGACGGCCACTGTAGTGAGTAAATATCCTTATTTTTAAGTAACTATTTCAGATTGTCACAAAAAGACAAGAAAATACAGGAAGAACATGTTTTCCTTTTATTCTGTAAAAAATGTCGTAAAACTTTACCTCTAATTTAGATTTTACATCCATTCATCTAGTGGTGGTTTTATGACATCCAGTACAACTGTAACATCTCAATCACTAGATGGCACAAAACTTACTTTCCTGAATACTTAAATAGTGAGTTATTAACATAATCGATAGTCAGAAACGTCATTTCCTGTCAACATCATATTTAACTGGAGGAAGTTTCTGATTAATTCTGTTTCTATAAACAGATTGTTTCAGCTCCAATAAAGGAGCAGTGACAGAAATCCAAAAATATTTATATTGCATGTGCTTTACAGAATGACCACAAGATGGCACTGTTGCGCTAAGGGAGAGAATCTGTTAATTTAGGAACTAAACTGCACTGTATGCAAACACTGATCTTTGCATTTATGCAACAATTCAAAAGTGAAGAAGGAAAAAAAATTGATAAGAACTAAATGATTAATGTATCTATTTACTCCTGTCTTTTATTAAACAGTTCTTCAAACGTCTTTTCCCAACAGAGACATTAAATATGTTTCACTTGACTTTGGCCTTTTGCATGAAGGTTCTTATTACAATTTTTTTGTCTTTTATTGTTCAGGATGAACTGTACTCAAGTCTCCAACAACAAACCAGAGACATTTATCAAACTGTCTCCTTTGGTCACCATCAGTATAAATCAGAAACAAATGTCACTGACGGGCTGGGAAACATTTATGAAAAATTTTGAATTAAACATCTGTCTTGATGAATACAACAGAATTTCCTGTTATGTTGTACTTCACAACCTTTCTGTTGGTTTGCATGTTGAACTTTAACACAAAAAATCATTTATTTTTTGGGCATTTTTACTTATTTCTACTTGATTTTGCTTTTATGTCATGTTTCTGACATATCTGGTGTGTTTTTTTTTCTGTAAACAGCTCCCACATTTTTATTTTAAAAATGATATATAAATAAATCTACTCCACCTTTGAAAATGATGGCCACTGTTTCACCTGTATAGCACAATAATTTACAATAGGATCTGATTTCTGTTTCTACATGGAGGATATAATTTTATGTTTGATGGAAGATTAAAATAAAAACAGTCACTGAATATCCATGAACATTTTTGTTTTATTGCTACTTAAAAGTGATGCCACAATGCAAGCCTTTCTGTTGTTTTAGTTTTGTTGTCTGTATAATTTGATTCTGGCTGTCGCTGAGCAAAAACCTTAATATCAAGATGTTAAGAATTTACTGTCATACAGTAAATAGTGATATTTCTGATAGCATCTGCAGCTTTGATAAACATTCAAGGAAAAATATATGTACCTATAAACATTTTAAAATGAAAGGAGAACAAATGTATTAACTTTTTGTATTAACCAGCAGTTCTAATGCATTTGTATCTGTGCATCTTTGCAGTGAGATTCGTCTCTCTTGGATGTTTGTTGCATTTTCTGTCTGGTTGCCAATATGTTGGTGTAAAAGTGTTGCAAAGGAGCAATGAGGGACCTAACCTACATAAAGCTGTAGCATGACCTTTAATCTTTTTGAAGCTCACATTCAAGATTATAAATGTGTGAAGACCACAAAGCAAACATGACATTTAGATCTCCTAACCCCACATTGTTGCAGAAAAACAAGCAGGAAATCCTGCCGAGCATCATATAATGCTGACAAAGCTTTAATCTCAGATGTTAGAGTACTGGAAAATATAATCATGGATAATAGTTGATTGTTTTGCTTTCAATCAGACTCACTCTTATTTGAGTTGTGTAGAGATAATTCCTGTTTGTGTGGTCTGTTGTTTCAAAGAGAAGTCATCATGCAGGTGCATTTCCTTTAAAAAAAAAAAGAAGTCACATCCTTTTGTGCTGGTTTGAGAGATGAGCGTTTGTGGTTTGTGTCGCCAAAAGTTTTAAAGGACAGTTCAGACGTCCTCGGTTCAGTGCAGCAGCAGATTTGGATGAAATAAGCAGGTTAGATGGATGCAGTGAGATTCAGCATTTTACTGCTACTACTGTGGTTTGGCTGCCAACTGGACTCTACAGGTAACGTAAAAATTGAATTGCTTTGAATTTAATTTTGAGGTTTTTTATCAATCGGGGCCTTCACTTTTTAACTGTTGATCTGACTTACTTTAAATTCCACTGCTTCATAGATGAGACAGTTTGTCATTAATTGTTCTTTTTTGTTTGCAGCACCTCTTGTAAAAACAATCGGAAAAGAATCAGATTTTACTCCAATCTGCACCAATGAAACGTCAAACATCATCATGATGATTGTGTGTAAAATCAGAACAGAGAGGAACAATGGAGGCAGTGCAATCTGCTGTATCAGGATGGAGGTGACTTTGTTCATGAGTGTGACTCCAGATTCTCATTAAAACCCAGGAATCAAACTGTGTTTCTGCACCTGACCAGTTTAACAGCAGCTGATAGTGGGAACTACTCCTGTGAGTGTTCAAATCTTAATGGAACGGGTTTTCTCAATCTCAGAATCATAGTTAATGGTGAGTGGATCTATTTAAATGTTATGTCAAAGTCATATGAACCAAATATTCTCTAACAATGTTTGTTTTATTTCCAATAGAATCAAATCCTAATAATTCATCAGATGAAGTTTGGAGCCAGTCTGCAGCAGTGACTCTTCCTTCTGCTTTGCTGCTGCAGTTCTCCTAATTATCAAGGTTTCTGTTATTCTGGGATTTATCTACAGAAGACGTTCACATCGGTGAGAAACATGCAATATTTTTTCTTTTATTTACACTTAGGCTTATCAACATAAGCAATATTTAAATAAAAAAAAAGTACCTTATCTGTAATAATATAAATCAATCAAACAAGTCAATGTTGCATTAATTTATTTCCCCACAGAAAGCAAATGGAGTCATGCATTCGTCATGAGAGGAGGTAATTTATATTTAAAAAATTGATGCATTATTTTATTTTCACATGCAGATTTTTAGGCTAATTCTACAACATGTTTTGTTCTGCAGGACTTGACTGAAATTGAGCCGTACAGCTCCTACACTCAGAAGGAAAATTCTCTTTATTCAACAGCCATTATTGCACAGCTGTCAAATTAATTCTGATTCTACAAATGTTTAACAAATTTACCATCATAATTCCTTGGGATTTTTTTTATCTGGCGTATTTCAGATCATTTCAGTTGAGACTCTCTGTTCAGAGCAGCAGCAGATGTTGCATCGATAAGCAGGTCAGATGGACGCAGTGAGAATCAACCTTTTACTGCTTCTGCTTTTTTTGCATGATGTCTGGACTCTGAAGGTAACGTTATGTTGAATATTCTTTGAAATGTATTACATCTGTTCTAGTTTTTAAAAGATTCCAATATTACAGCAATCAGTTTCTTATTCATTGTTCTTTCCTGCTTTCAGTGACTCTTGTGAAAACAATCGGGAAAGAATCAGATTTCACTCCAATCTGCACCAACAAAACATCAAACATCATATTGATCATTTGTAAAATCAGAACAGAGAGGAACAATAGAGAGGAGTGCAGTCTGCTCAGTGTGACTCCAGATTCTCACTAAAAACCACACTGTAACAAATTGCTGTAAAAAAACGGCCAAAACTGAACAGTATCATACTGTTTCTATTGAAAACGGTACTGCACCGTGAAAAACAATGCATTCTGGGCAATTATTACTGTTTTTAATAAAATACTGTAGTATACTGTGAGTAGCATTGCCTTTTGGGAATGATGTTAGATTCAACGGTAAGGAGGCTCTCTTTAAACAGAACGCTGCAGTATTTCTGAAGAAGACATGTTGTGGTGACATGTGGAAGCAACCTCTAGAACTTTCTTTACAAGGACTATCCATTTGAATCCTGCATTTTATGAGCCAATCCTAAGGTAAGTTATTTTTGATGATTCATATTTACAAATATTGACATGTTTGGAAGCTTTTTCTTTCTTTTGTGTAATTTAACTTGAATTGCTATGATTAGCTGCTAAAGTGAAATTGGTGAATGGATAGCAACTGGGAATTTGGAGTTTCACAGAGTTGACTTGGCAGAAAACTGTTTAAATGTTATGCTGGTGTCTCTTTATTAACTCTTAACATTCAAAAGTTTGTCTTCACCTAGCATACATTAAACCCTGACTCCTTAAGCATCATATGCTAATCTGAAATTACTGCATTTTCAGGCGCTTTCTTGATATCAACCCGGACCAAGGCCAGCTGCAGCAAGATCATCTCCAAGAGGACAGGGAAAACTTTTCAAAAGAAGTCGGTCACTGTCATCCCCGTCAACTCTGCTGAAAAACCTCATGGACTTTGAGTGGAATTTCATAGTGAGAACTTTCTAACCAAGCTATAGATATTGTTGCCCCTCCACGTAAAAACAAACAAACAAAAAACTCTACAGGCATGAAGGCAACTTATCCCTGAACAGGAGTGTTCTTGAGAGATTTATTTTTTATTTAAAGGTCAGCATAATCTGAAGACATCTCTTTTAATTAAGAGCATAAATTTTGTTAAGGCTCCCACTTTCTGTTCTTCAGATGTAATTTTGACTGTACAGGCACCATGTTTAACTTATCTTGGCAGTGTGTTGTCTAATATTGTTTCATTGTTTTATCATTTGAAGTTGGAGCTCTGATTTTGCCCTAAAGGAAATTCAAGTCTAAATGTTTCATTTAAATTTTTATCAAACTAAAATTTGCAATGTTTTTCTATGCTTTAGATTGAAAGTTAAATGTTTATGTTGCATCATATCGTTCCTCACTTCCACAAGAAGTAGTATTTTGTATTGAAAAAGTAGTGTGCTGAGTTGTACAATGCATTATTTCCATTATTTATTTCATACTTATTTTATTTCAGACTAATCAAAAGGCCGCAATTCATGCTTTATTCAAATACTCTTTAAATCAGTTAAAAAATTTATTTCACAAAATAGATGGTGATTTTCTTACTGTTTTTCCAGAATATGACTTACTTTGGACAGTTTACCCTCAACATTCTTGTAGAAAAGGTTTAGGTTTAAGGCACACATACATTGTTTCAAAACCTTCTTTACTATGTGGCCCACTAAAGACTGTGTATGAGTCAATGTTTGAGTTGTTCTTTTTTTCCCAAATAAATGTTTGACATAATGGAACTTACATTTTTTAAGTGTTTTTTTCATGTTTCTATTTTATATTGGAAATTTACAGTAGTAAGCTGTATGTGATTCAACACTGCTGCCAGTAGTCTACTGTAAATCTGATAAAAATAGCAATGTGCTGTAATCAAAAGATTTCTTTTGTGACGGTAATATACTGTAAAGTTGATTACAGGAAGGGTACTGTATAATTAACAGTATAATGCTGGCAACCCTGCTGCCAGCATTATACTGTAAAAATACTGGGCAATTTTGTTACAGTGCAGGAATCAAACTGTTTCTGCACCAGACCAGTTTAACAGCAGCTGATAGCGGGAACTACTCCTGTCAGTGTTCAAATCTTGATTCAGCATATTTTCTCAATCTCAGAATCACAGTTAATGGTGAGTGGATCTATATAAATGTTATGTCAAACTCATATGAACCATATATTCTCTAACAATGTTTGTATTATTTCCAATAGAATCAACTCCTGATAATAATCCAGCAGATGAAGTTTGGAGCCAGTCTGCAGCAGTGACTCTTCCTTCTGCTTTGACTGCAGCAGTTCTCCTAATTATCATGGTTTCAGTTATTCTGGGATTTATATACAGATATTTACTGTTAAATAGTTATTAACTATTTAAATTAATAATTAAATAGTTATTAACTATTTAACAGTAAATATCTGTTATTTACTGTTATTTAAATATTTACTGTTATTTATTTAACAGTAAATAGTTATTTACTATTTACTGCAAGTAAATAGTAAATAACTATTTACTATTTACAGTAAATATTTACTATTTACTGTAAATAGTTATTAACAGTAAATAGTTATTAACTATTTACTGTTATAATAGTAAATAACAGTAAATAGTTATTTACTGGTAAATAGTTAATAGTAATTTACTGTTAAATAACTAAATAAGTAAATATTTAACAGTAAATAGTTATTTACTGTAACTATTGTTGCGTTGTTGTTGTTTTCAGCAGCTGCTAACAACAACAATGCAGAAAAAATCATATTGATCTTTGACAAAACTTAGTAGTTTTATCAAAGATCAATATGATTATTTTCTAATGATTATCTTATGATTATTTTATAATGATTATTTTCTAATGATTATTTTCTAATGATTATTTTCTAATGATTATTTTATAATGATTATTTTCTAATGATTATTTTCTAATGATTATTTTCTAATGATTATTTTCTAATGATTATTTTCTAATGATTATTTTATAATGATTATTTTCTAATGATTATTTTATAATCATTCTATAATTATTTTCTAATGATTATTTTATAATGATTATTTTATAATGATTATTTTCTAATGATTATTTTCTAATGATTATTTTATAATGATTATTTTATAATGATTATTTTATAATGATTATTTTATAATGATTACATCATCACTGTGTTTCCAGTTATAAATTTAAACTGAAGGAGAGATTGTTTAATGGTTACCACAGTAACCATGGTTACTACAGTAACCATAAAACAACATCAAGTTAAAACAGTAACAAAAAAAACTTTAGTAGTTTGTGCTTCTTTTTGTGTTTCTATTGTCTGGAAAACAAAAATAGTATTTTAACACCTAAAACAGCAACTCATAACATCAGTAAGCTACTTAAAAAAAAAGAAAAAGCCCAAAATGGCTTCTAATAATTGGACGTTTGGAGCAGAACTCAAAATGCACATCTCCCTCCACTGTCCATGTTTCTGCCACATGGACGCTCCCCAAGCTGCAGAGAGGAAGACAAATTTAATTACAAAATAAAATAGAAACACAAAGTGATTTTTATAAGTCACTGTAGTCTGACTGCAGGACTCGACTTTGATATATGTGCAGTAGAAAATGTAAAAACAATGGCAAACTGAAAAAGGATACACCCACGTGAAAAAGATCCGTCCATCCGCCCGTCCTTCCGCCCGTCTGTCCTTCCGTCCGTCCGTCCATTGTCTGCTGCTAATCCAGGGTCGGATCTCGGGGGAAGCAGCTTCAGAAAGGAGGCCCAGTCTTTCCTGTCCCCAGCCTCTTCTTGCAGCTCCTCTGGGGGAACCCGAAGTCGTTCCCAGGCCAGCTGAGAGACATGGTCCCTCCAGCATGTCCTGGGTCTTCCCTGGGGCTCCCTGGGACCCTTGTGAGGGACCAGGACCTCGGACTTGGAGGCACAGATTCTCATCCTGGCCGCTTCACACTCGGCTGCGAACCGCTCCAGCGAGAGCTGCTGATCACGTCCCGATGGAGCCAATAGGATCACATCATCCACAAAAAGCAGAGATGCGATCCTAAGTCCACCAGAACGGATCTCCTCAACACCTTGACTGCCCCTAGAAATTCTGTCCATGAAGTGATGAACAGAATCACTGAGGGCAGCCCTGGTGGAGTCCAACTCTCACAGGGAACGAGTCCGACTAACTGCCATTGTTCCACGACCAGGACGAAAACCACACTGCTCTTCCACAATCCGAGGATCCACTATCAGACGGAGCCTCCTCTCCAAAACTCTTCCATCCTTCAACCCAGACCTTCTCTCTTGAAGAGATCCAACAGTGCTTCAGAGAGTTGGGCGTGTTTCTGTCTGAATGGCAGATTTGCAGCACTTTTAAAAAATCCATGATGGTACCCAATATCGTAGTGTACCCTCCTGGTACATCTGAACAAAAACACGCCCAACTCTCTGAAACACTGTTGGCTTGGGCTCATCCACCATCTTTACTGCCATGTCCTCATTTGTCTTTGCATCCTGGGCATGTGCTGACCTTGACTTTAGCCTGTCTAATTTAATTTTCAATGTCACCAGTCTTTATTTAATTCATTATTTTCATTCTCTAACCACTGGCGATCTCTATTTTTTTCCCTCAAAGCATTCTCTGCCCTCCTTCTGATTGAAATGTTATTTGACTCCAGTCTTTGGTTTTCCTTGCTTAAGTCTCTGCACTGTTGTTTCAGTGATTCAATTGTCACTCTGGTTTCCTCCAGCTCATTATTGAGCGCCTCGA